AAAATGCAACAGTGAATGAATGGAAATCCAAAGTCTCCGTAAATTTTCATTAAAATTAATAATTTTTAAAAAAAGAAGTGGAAGAATTAGCTGGTTTCAACAATGAAGACAAATGGATGAATCTGCAGGAGGCTGATGAAATGACCAGGTGACAAGGTTTGCATTTCACCATGACTAATAGATCAGGCCTCAGCATCTGTGATTCACCAAGGAGGCAGACGGTTTGCCATTCAGTGATAAAGACTCTGTCAGAAAGTAGAGGGAGTGTACAGTAAGGATTGCTGTCTCATCTGATGTGTGTCTCTTTGGGTTCCATGGCCTGGAGTCAAGCCTCCCTTCAGATTCAGAGTATAGCGAGCAAAGCCATGGTTCAGTTTACGACTCCCAAGTCCCAGTGCAGAGTTCATGTTTAGATTTGCTTTCCCTTCAATAGAATTTTGAGCTTACTTTGAAGTGAGTGCCTAGGCTCCTAGTTTTAATATCCTCCTCTTATAAAGTGGGGACTCCCTACCTCAAACCACTAATATGCTAATTTTATATGCCAATGGTATAAATGGCTAATGTGCTCAGCTCCTAATCCAAAAGCTGGACATTCAAGCCCACCATGGGGCACTTTGGAAGAAAAGCCTGGCCACCTATGTCTGAACAATCAGCCACTGAAGAGCCTGTGGAGCACATTCCATACTGACACATGGAGTCACCGTAAGTCAAAGGTGACTTGATGGCAATTGGGTCAAGAATTCACAGTCTACATAAAGGGCCTAGAAGAGTAACTAGAATAATTTCTAAATATTGTTGCTTTTGTTTTCTGCCATCCAGTTGACCATGACAAGAATTCACAGTCTACATAGAGGGCCTAGAAGTAACTTCTAAATATTGTTGCTATTGTTTCCCGCCATCCAGTTGACCATGACTTACGAAGACCTTCTTATAGTGCTAAATAACAGATCAAAACCTGGCCCTATCCTCACAATCCTCACCACACACAAGTCCAAAGGTGCAGTCACTGTGTTAATACATCTTACTGAGGGTCTTCCATTCTTCCACTGTCCCTCTAGCTTTCTTGGTTTGATGTCTTTCCCCCAGTGACTGGACCTTCCTGACAACATGCTTCAGTGTATGTGAGAAACAGATTCATCATTCTTGCTTCTAAGGAACACCTTATATTGCTCTTACCCCAAGACAGATTTATTTGTTCACTTCTAAGGAGAACTCTTACATTGCACTTACTCCAAGACAGACTGATTTATTATTTTGGCAGTCTATTTAATATTCATTATTATTCACCAATATAGCAATTAAAAATTATCAATTCTTTTTCAGTCTTCCTTATTTATTGTCAAGCTTTCAGTTACATAGGGAGCAACTGAAAATACCATCAGTCTTTAAACTGACATCCTTGCTCTTTAACACTTTAAAGAGGTCCTTGACAGTAGATTTGTAGATTTTTTCCAAATGCAACATTTCATTTCTTCACCGCTGCTAATGTTGACTGGGTGTTGATTGTGGATCCAAGTAAAATGAAATCGTTGACAACTTCAATCTTTTCTCCATCTATCACGATGTTGCCTATTGGTCCAGTGGTGAGGATATTTGTTATCTTGATGTTGAGATGTAGCCTACATTGGAGGCTGTAGTCTTTGATTTCTTAGCAAGTGCTTTAAGTCTTATTCACTTTCTCACACAAGCAAGGCTGTGTCATCTGCATAATACAGGTTCTTGATAAGTCTAACTCCAATCCTAATGCCACATTCTTCTTCGTATAATCCAGCTGCTTCTTCATATAGCCGAATGATCTGCTTAGCTTGTAGAATGAATAGGTATGGAGGACGAATACAACTCTGACACACATCTTTCCCGACTTTAAGTTATGCAGTATATTTGCGTTCTCTTCTGACAACAGCTTCCTCATCTATGGACAACCTGTTTCACATGAACATAATGAAATGTTCTGGGATCTCCATTCTTCTCAATGCTAGTCATAATTTGTTGTGATTCACACAATCAAAAACCTTTGAACAATCAATAAGACACATGTAAACATCTTTCAGTATTCTCTGGTTTCAGCAACGATATCCCTTGTTCAATGGCCTCTTTAGAATCCAGCTTAAATTTCTGGATTTCATGTCACAGAGCAGGGGTTCAGAATTGGGGATAATTTTGTCCCCCCAGGGGATACTGGACAATATCACGGAGACATTTCTGGTTGTCACAACTCAGTGCTACTGTGACCTAGTGGGTAGATGGCAGGGAAAGAAAACGCTAAATATTTGACAATGATGAGGACACAGGACACTGCCCCACAACAGAGAATCACCCAGCAGCAATGCCAGTAAGAAACGCTGGCCTCAAGTTCTAACCTCAGATTCAGTTTAAGCCTTCAGCATATGAAAGCTGTATTGTTTTCAGCTGTGTGTGGGCTGAGCTCGGCGGGCTGGTATTGGATGCAGAGAAGAAAATGATGAGAGGTCAAAAGAGTTCCACCCAGATGACATGTGGCATCACTCTGTGACTAACACCCAAAGATGCCATAAAGGTCACCCTTCTTGGGAGAAATGCAGCTTTCCATGATCTCCCGGGCTGATTCCATGACTCATGCTTTTTATACTGATTTCCCAGTCTGACTCTATGACCAATCACTTCATCTCAAACCCAGGAGGAACCCAAAGTATAGACCACGTCCTCACCACCACCTCTGCTGCTCTAGGGCCCTAACACATCCGTCTCTGTATGAAGAAGTCTGTTTATCTCTCCAGCAGACAAAGCACCCTGCACAGGGTTAACCTCATTCTCTAAACAAAGGGAACCGCTCCCTCTGTCCATCCACGTGTCCCCCACATGGCAATCGGTGTTGGAGATGCTGGGGTCCAATGGGGAACAAGTCCTTTTGTGGCTCATCTATAGGAGAAGACTGACCTACTCCTAGCAAATTCTTGACTATGTTCTTAGAACCAAAACTAGTTCTTGAAACACAGTATCTGGCCCTTGCCCTTTATTTTATACCTGACGCTGCAGTTCAGAGAGCGAAGTGACTCTACTGAGGCCAAGTGACAATAAGTCTCAGGGAAATAGGAGAATCCAGGTCCCTAACCCCAGGTTTCCCTATTTCACTACTGGCCTCGTTGCCATTTACAGCCTTTTTTATGCCTGCTCTGTTCCCTGTGTGTTATCTCATGTGATCTTCATCACTCTCTTGTAAGACAAACAAAAGAAACCCAAACCCACTGCCTTGGAGTTGAGTTTGCCTCGTGGGAACCCTCTATTGGGTTTCCACATCTGGAAATCTTAACGGAGCAGATGGCCTCATCTTTTTAATCCTTTGAGGAGCTGGTAGAACTTTCAGCAGTCCAACATGAAACACACTACCATGGTTCCTCTCTAAGGTCAGGAGTACTGTTATTCTCATTTGAAACTGAGGCACAGAGACATTCGGTCATTTGCCAAGGGAGAGTTTGCATTTGACACCCAGGCGGGCTAGAGGCTGTGTGATAAATGGCAATTTACTCCCAGTCCCCAGCCATTCTTCAAAATGGACAACGAGGTTACCTCAGAAGAATATACTCCTCCCTTGGGGTCTCTGTGTCCCTGCTTGATAAGACACACAGAGCAGACAGGGCTAAGGTGAGGGGTGAGGTGCTCACAGGTACTCAGAATGGTTTGTGGATTTGCCATCTAAGACACAGGCAATGGTGGCTCAGACCAGGGTGGTAAGTGGAGATGGGGGAGGGAACAGATTAAAGAGCTATTTAGCGGGTGGAACCACAGTGGAACTGCTGCACGAGAAAGAAATGAAACAAATACAAAGGACCATGGTATAGTGCTTGGCACAATTGAAGTTCTCATCAGCTCACCAATGCTATTTCTTCTCGCATCAAAAGACCACGGAGGAGGAGACCATGGTGGTGGCAGTTAGCCCTGCTTGGCTGGCTGAGGATGCAGAAGGTGCCCATAATTAACAACACTTTGAAAGTCAACTTACCATCTTTGAGTGAGAAGCTCAGAAGGTCCTGGGGGTGAGGGAGTAGAGAAAAGTAACGTGAATTAGCAGTGAGTTGAAATGTTACCAGCCTGCCCACTCAGTAAATATTTACTGACTCCCATTTAGTGGAAGAACAAGTTGGACCAAAATCTCTGTCCTACATTCTAGTGGTGAGACAGGCTATAAACTAGTAAGCAAACAAATAAAAATATAAAAATGTGAGGGTTTTTATTTGTTCTGTGGCTGCTCTGTAGTGAGATAAAGGTTGGAAGGGGAGCAAAACGGGACGGAGGGGAAGGAACTGTTTTAAATCCACGCAGCTGCACCCCACCAGCCAAGATGATACATTTCTGCCTCCTTTAACCGCACTCAGGACAGGTGAGTGTCTTGCGCAAGGGCACGGAGGAAAGCTGTTGCACCACAGTTTGGTGGTTAGAAGCACAGGCTCTGGAGGCAGGCCTGGATTCAAAACCCAGCTGAGCCGTTTATGAGCTGTGTGACTGTGGGCAATTTACCTAACATCTCTATGTTTCAGTTTTCCATCGCTATAAAATGCCAGTCTCCTAAAATGGCTCTGGGAATTAAACGAGCTAATATTTGGAAAGGCACTAGCACAAAATACACTCAACTTATGGCCGTTCAGTCAAAGTTGACTTCTAGCTGACCCTCCAGCAGGTTTTCAGAGACTTTAAATCACACAAGAGATTACCCATCTTTCTTCCCAGGTGTCACTGGTAGACTTAAATGTGCTTGTCTCTAGGTTTGCAGGGCAACTCCCTATAGACTAGGCCACCAGGCTCTCTAGCACATAAAGAGCACTATGTAAATAATAAGAGGAGCTCTGGTGGCCTAGTGGCAAGGAGCTGCACTGCAATCCCTACGACATGTAGTTCGAGGCCATCAGCTGCTCCACAGGAGATGCATGGGCAATCTCTTCCCACGTGATCAACTATCTCTGAAAACCTGCTGGAGATCAGCGATGAGGTGGGTTCCAACTCTATGGTACACAACAACAACAACTAAACATTAACATTGTTATTACGTACTGACTCACAGCTGAACAACCAGCAGGTTTTCAGAGGCAGTTAATCCGCGGGAGGTAAGTGTCCATCTTTCTCCACAGAGCAGCTGGTGAGTCTGAACCTTTGGCATACCTTTGGGCTGACATTACAACTCCTTACCACTAAGCCCCCAGAGCTTCTTAAATAGTTAATAGTCAATGACGAGTCAACAATGAATGTTATTATTATCATCATCACACTATATTATGATGATATCCTGTCTTTCAAGTCACCAGACTCCACTAGAAGCAATTCTCAGGTTATTGTTTGAAAGGAAAAAAATTTATACCACCTGCTCACCCCCATCCTCAAGGCCCCAATTCCCCTGACCCTCATTGAGGAGTTTCCTTCCAGCCAAGCATACATACCTGAGTGAGCACCAATGGATCCTTCTTCAAGATGGGGTCCTTCAACAGAATCTGAACAAACACGTCTGTTCCTTCACCTCCCACGCCACTGGCAAAAGCAGTCATAGTTGGCAAGACAGATTCAGATAGCTCCAGCCACTTGACCAGGCCCTCCATAAACGCCGTGCAGAAGGAGCTGAAAGACAACCCCAGCTGAGATCCCAAGGCTTCCTGGAACATGTGCCCTACACAGCGGTGGGGAGTTCACATGAGGTGTGTGCAGGTATGTGAATAGGGGGTAGTGGTGGGTCAGTGGGAGAATTCTCCTCATCCATGCTTGGGAGACCTGGGTTCAATTCCCAGGTCAGCGCAGTCAATGCACCTCATGCACAGCCACCAACCGTCTGCCAGTGGGCATGCTGTTAAGATGCCATGATGCTGAGCAGAGTACCAAGGTCTCAGTGGAACTTGTAGACGAAGATCAACTAGAAGGAAGGTCTGATGAGTTACTTTCATAAACCAGTCAATGAAAACCCTCCAGCTCGTACCAATCTAATCCATAACTCAGCACTGAGATGGTGCAGGACTGAGCAGCACTCTTCTTATGGGGGTGCCAGGAGAGGGGCTACTCTACGGCAGCCAACAATGACATGTACATGGGCAGTCTGCACACAGCAGCAGATCAATAAGGGGAAGACAAAAACTCAGAGGCAGTGATCTATGATGTTACTGTGTTCCACTGAGCTAGAACCAACCCATAGCTGATCATCCAGCAGGGTTTCAGAGGCAGTTAATCACACGCGAGGAGATGAGATATTCAAAACCTAATTTTCAAGAACATATTTTAGTTTTTCTCCTGTTGTGGTTATGTGCTGTTGAGTTACTTGCGACTCACAGCGACCCTATGTACAACAGCTCTAAACCTGCTCTATCCTGTGCCAACCTTATTGTCTCTGACACACCTACCCCCATTATCCCTGTCACTGAATCAATCCATCTCTTCAAGTGTCTTCCCCCTTGCACTGTCTCTCCACCCTCCCAAGCATGATGTCCTTCTCTAAGGACTGGTCCCTCCTTGCAACATGCCCAATGTATGTCAGATGAAGCCTCAGAATCCTTGCCTCCAAGGAGCAGCTTGGTTTTACCTTCTCTAGGATGAACCCGTTTGCTCTCCTAGCAGTCCATGGTATATTCAATACTCTTCTCCAGCACCACAGCTCAAAGGCATCAATTCTCCTTCTACCATCCCTAGTCATTGTCCAGCTTTCTGACACACGACAAGAAATTGCAAAGGCTATGGTTAGAATCAGACACACTGTAGTCTCAGAATGACATCATTGCTCTTCAGTACTCTGGAGGTCTCTGACAGCAGACTTTCCCTATGTAATTTGTCTTTTAATTTCTTGGCTGCTGGTACCAAGAGTGTTGACTGTGGAGCCAAGCAAACTGAAGCTATTAAGAATCTCAATCTCTCCACCGTCTATCATGGTGCTGCTAATCAGCTCTGTGGTGAGAATCTTTGTTTTCTTGAAGTTAAGCTTCAATTCACATTGAAGGCTGTAGTCCCTGACCTTCTATAGAATTTCAGGTCCTCCTCAGTTTTAGCAAGCAGGGTAATATCATCTGCATAACGCAGACTGTTGATGAGTCTTCCTCCAATCTTGAGATGCCACATTCCTCCTCAGAGAACCCAGCCTCTGAGACAATCTGTTCTGCATATAGATTGAAAAGGTATGGAGATAGGACACATCCCTGGTGTACACCCTTCTCAATTTTCAAGCATACAATGTCTCCTTGCTCTGTTCTGATGAACAGAAGCTGAATGGAAGATTTCAAAGGGCAGAGCAGGAAGACAAAGTAAAGTACTATAATGAAATGTGCAAAGAGCGAGAGTCAAAATCAAAAGGGGTGAACTCACTTGGGATTTCTTTAGCTGAAGGAACTGAAGAACAAATTCAAGCTTAGAGTTGCAATACTTAAGGATGTTTTGGGCAATATAATAAAAAATCCAGGAAGCATAAAAAGAAGATTAAAAGAGTATACAGAGTCATCATACCAAAAGGAATTGGTGGATACAGAAGAATTTCATGAAACAACGTACGTGATGATGAAGGAAGGAGTCCAAGCTGCTTTGAAAGAATTGGTAAAAAACAAGGCCCCAGGAATTAGCGGCATACTAATTGACATATTTTAACATGCATATTTCAAGATGCTGCCCTGAATGTGCTCACCAAGTTGTGCCAAGAAATCTGGACAACCACCTGGCCAACTGATCGGCAAATATTCGTATTTGTTCCCATTCCAAAGAAAGGTGACCTGACAAGAGTGCAGAAATTCTTGAACAATATCATTAATATTACATGCAAGCAAGATTTTCCTGAACATTATCAAAAACCAACTGGAACAGCATATCAGCACAGAACTGTTAGATGTGCAGACTGGGTTTAGAAGAGACCATGGTACTAGGGATATTATAGCTAATGTTAGATGGATCTTAGCTGAAAGCAGAGAGTACCAGAGGAATGTCTATCTGTGTTTTGTTGACTATGAAAAGGCATTTGACTGTGTGGATCACAACAAACTGTGGCTGACTCTGAGAAGAATGAGAATCCCAGAACACTTGAGTATGCTTCTGTGAAACCTATAGTTGGACCAGGAGGCAGTCGTCAAAACAGAGCAAGGAATCAGATGCGGATCTTGTTAAACTTTAGTTTCTGATTCAGTATATCTGGGACAGAGATGCAAATTCTCAGCAGGGTGTTGAAATGGAATGAACCAGTTTGAAGGCCTGGGGAGCAGCTAAGCTGCATCACAATCTCCAGGGAAGCTTCAGCCTGACTTTGAGGCTGGACTCCTTTGATCTTGGAGCTCTGGGCTGTGCAGGCAGCACTCCAGCAATTGTTATATAAGTTCTTTGTTTGTGAAGGGGACAGCGTGATGAGTGACGTGACCCCTTGGGAAAATAAGCTGACCTCTCAGCTTCAGTTGCTGTTAAGGACTGAATTGTGTCTCCTTAAAATGTGTTGTCAATCCATGATTAAAACAGTGACTATAACAACACTGGGCTCTAGTATGTCAGAGATGTTTTAGGACGGCACAGGACAGGGCAGGGTTCAGATCCGTTGTTCATAGGGTTGTTGTTGTTGTTATGTGCCATCGAGTCGTTTCCGACTCATAGCGACCCTATGCACAGCAGCCCTA